CCAGGGACCAGATGCCCCCCCACATCCCCCCCTCCCCCCACACACACGCCCAGCCCACACTTCCCAGGGACCAGATCTCCCCACCCCCGTCCCCCAGCCCGTAGCTCCCAGGGACCCCCCTGCCCACATGCCCAGCCCATAGCTGCCTGGGACCAGATCCCTCCCCACATGCCCAGCCTGTAGCTCCCTGGGTCCGTCCCCGCCCCCACATGCCCAGCCCGTAGCTCCCTGGGTCCGTCCCCGCCCCCACATGCCCAGCCCGTAGCTCCCAGGGACCCCCCCTGCTTGGTGCACACCCTCACTCACTATAGCACGTTCCTTGTGGAGGACTTTCGGGTGCTGGCAGTGATCCGGAGGGTCGCCGTAATCGTATCTGGCAGGGCACAATCAGGGCTGTTGGGAGCCGGGAGAGCCAGGACACCAGCCCCCCCCATGACAGGCCCCCAGAGCTGTTCCTGGCTTTGTGGCTGGCGCCCGGGGGAGGCCACAGGCTTGCCAAGGGCCTTGGGCACGTGCCCTCAAGCCCAGCGTGAGGCCACGCCCACCCCTGGCTGCACACCAGGCCGACGGAGCCCGGGGGGTCGCAGGCTGTGGAGAGCCCCCGGCCAGTCCCTCACGCGACCTAGGGAACAGGAGATGGGCCGGACGCTCCCCAGCCCCAAAAGACAGGGCTGGGGAGCCGAGGGGGGCTGCTGCTTCCCCAGGTTAGGGGGGGAGGGGGCAGGCACGGGACCCTCCCAGACTGGAGACACCCAGAGCATATCGGGGCAGCAGCAGGCCAGCAGAGCGGGGGTGGGGGGCACCACTGTTACAGCCGCTGCCCCAGATGTGCAGGATAGGCAGCGGGGGCCCAAACGATGCAGCAGTCTGAGCCAGGAGGGCCTAGGGGTGGGGAGGGACCAGCAAGTCCCCGGGATGTCCTTACCTTCTCCTCCGGTTACTCCTCCTGCGGGGGGATGGGGAGCGGGAGCGGCTGCGGGAAGCCGAGGAGGATCTGGACGAGTAGGACGAGGAGGAGGATGACGACGACCTCCCCCGGGACCGGCCGCACGACCCGCAGCTAGAGCGGGAGGAGTGGGAGCTGCGGGAGCGTCTTGAGCGATACCTGCCGAACAAGCACATCACCCGGTGAGCCCCGGCGCCTCCCACCACCGGTGGGCCCCAAGCCCCTCACCGCCCGCCCCAGCCTGGGGCTTCCTCCCATCCCCAAAGCATCGAGGCCGCGAGGTGCTCTCCAGACCCACACGCACAGGACACTCAGCACTGCCTGGGACGCTCCAGGGGACAGCTTTCCGCCCAAGCCGGCCTCCTGAACCTCATGGTACGAGGAAAGCCTTCAAAACGTGCCCCTGGCAGGACAGCGCCTGCCTGAGTCTGCAGAGAGCCTGAGCCAACGGCCGTGTTCATTACCGTATGGCACTGACTCTGAAACCTAACGAGTCGCTGGTGGCCTGGCCCGCACTAGCCGTCACTGAACGGTTCGGCTGCCAGGACAGAACAGGAGCATGCAGTGTTCGGCACCTGGCACCGGATCTGCCTGCAGGGCTAGCCAGGCTCCCCGGGACGGGGAAGGGAGCAGGGCGGGCGGCCCGGACACGGCTCCATTCACTGGTTGCCTGGGGAGCGAGGTGGGGAACAGACAGACACCCGAGTCCGGTGCCTGAGTCCACGCTCAGCGGCTCCTCTGCCTGCAGCGGGACCAGGCTGGGCTGGGCCCTGTCGGGGAGCGAAGGGGCTGATCTGACCCCAGCCCGTCCGGGCTGGCCGAGAGGAGCTGAGCACAGCGGGCGAGGGGCAGGAGAGGCACAGACCCTCTCAAAGAGCCTCCAGCCCTGCTGCTGACGGGCACATGGGGAGGGCAGCTGGGTGTGCTCATGGGCAGGCAGAGAGTGGTTCCCTATGATCGATGGTGGCGGGGGAGTCCAGCACCATCCAGGGCCTCTTGCCCTGGAGAGGACAGTCTCTCTGGGGCTGCGTGTCAGCCCGGCCGATAGCCAGGGGCTCCAACGAAGACCGAGCATTCGGGCCTGGCGGGGGGCAGCTCACAGCGCCTTGAGGCGGCCGTGGAGCATGCTGGCCTGGCTGTATGGAGTGGAGAGGAGAGGTGCCCCCCTGTCCCCGGCCCCCGTTCCTGGACTGCACAGCGGGACGTGGGGCCGAGGAGCCCGATCCCACAGGGCCCAGGAGCTCCCCACCGCCTGGCAGTGCCAGCAGGGCCGGGCGGGGCACAAGGACAATGGGATTGAGGGGTACACACTGGATGGTGGGGAGCGCCCTCAGCCGTGCCAGGGCTGCTCCAGCCATTTCAGACTGGGCTTGGCGCTGGGGGAGCAGAGGTGATCGTGCCCTGGCTGGAGGGACCGGGCAGCCGCGCCCCCCCCACACACACACCCCTGCTGCTCGCTCTGCGACGCCCAGCTCCAGAAGGCAGCGCCAAGCCCCCGGGCGTACTCGCGGGGAAGGAGACGGGAGGCAGAGCTGTCCGGTGCCTCCCACGCAGCTCCAGGCCCCTCTGGCTACTCAGCAGCGACAGCCAGGCTGGGCACCCCGCCAGCAGCGGGACTTGGTCCGACCCGCGTGGGCCAGGCCGGGCGCCAGCCCCGCAGTGCGTGAGCCCTGGGGTCGGTGCGGACATCCTGCCTATGCCAAGGCCTCCGGCGCAGGGGCAGCCCTGCTGAACGAGCGCCTGGCTCTGCCCGGGCAGACGCAGCCCTGCTCACTCCACGGCTGGCCCGGTGCCCCTTGACGTGTAGAACCAATGTGAATGAAATTGTTTTTAGTTATCCTGTACCATTGTAACTTCTGTTCACCATTTCATTACACCTGCCATTTTGCCTACATTGTAACTTTCATTACACTTGCCATTTTGCCTACATTGTAACTTCTGTGCCATATTGTAATTCAAACCCCATTTTAAAACGCTTACTCCATTTTGTAAGGGCTTGCTGCAACCTTCATTGTTGCAAACCCTGCTGTAATGTTATTAGTCTAGTTGAGATGTGTGAATAAGGGATGCATGGGTGATAGAATCAACCTCCAGCACCAGCCCGTCCTGATGAGATAAAGTTCAAATACCAACGGCTGAAGAACTAGACAACAGCCCTAACTCAAGCAAGAAGCATCCACCCTAAAAAGAAACAACAGAAGGAAGATCAAAGCCAGGTCCCAGGCTGACAGTCACGCCTGCAATTGACGGGTGATCAAGCACCAAACCCAGAGGCGGCGTGACACAGCGAGACCTAGGAACTTTGAATCCAAACTAAACTCCTATAAAAAAGGAAGGGTGAGATGAGAGACTTTGGGTAACGTTCTGCTATCAACATCAAGGAGCATCGGTGCGCGCCCGACAGAGACCCGGCTCCTCCTCCTGCTCAGCTTTCCTGGCCAGTTAGCTGCCACGAGCTACGATCCCAAGCTGCTAACTCAAACTACAATCAGGACTGGTAACTATCCAGCAGCTGCAGAACATTTTGGTGTGTGTGTGTGTGTAAGCATTGAGGTATTTGCTAATAGTTACAGAATAATAATAAATGTGGCATCTTTGCCTTGATCCCTAAAACGATCCTGTGTAAGTTTGTGGGACAACAGACGTGGCTAAGACACAGGCGAGCGATGGGCAGCCCATGGGCCCTGTGCCGCGCCGTGGCTGCAACCAGCCCACGTGGTGCTGCACCGGCGGCTTCCCACACGGCTGAGCGGGTGCAGAGAAGAACTTGGGCTCCGGGTTCTGTGAAAACCCCCTTCGACGAGGGAGTCAAGAGCACCCCCCGGAGCTACCCCGCCAGCTTGGTGGGGGGCGCACGTGGCCCAAGTCAGGGAACGAAGCTGCCCCCCAAGCATGGCCATGGTGGGGGACCCAAACCCAGAGTCACCCCCTGGCTGAGCAAGTCTGGCTCAGCGCGGGCGGGTCCCCCATCCCTGGGCATCACCCCGCCCTCCACATGCCCAGCAAATGCCATCACAGGGGCCCATCCCCCGGAGATCCCCCGGCACTCTGCAAGGCGCGTCTCCCAGCCGCCCGGGTGCCCAGCCACACACAACGGACAGACTCCGTGGGGACATCCAGCTACGGCGGCTGGGCGACGGAACCGCCACTTACCTTCGCCACCGCTTTGGAGGGGGGGACAGCGACCGGGACCGAGACCGGGAGGACGAGGAGGAGGAAGACGAGGAGGCGCTGGCCCCGCTGGACGTGGAGCTGAAAGAGCGGCTGGTGCGGGCCCGGGGGCTTGGCGAGGCCCCACGTCTCCGGTAGCAGCGCAGGGACCTCTTGGCAGCCAGCTGCTTCGGCTGCGGGTCCCGAGTCGGCAGCTCCTCGTCCCGGCAGGGGGATGCGTCCGGAGACAGCAGGACCGAGGTGGGGGGGCTGCTCCTGCCAGCGGTAACCTGGCTTTGGGCACTAGTCCGGTGATCCAGCTGCTCGCTGGAGCCAGGGGCAGTGCCAGGCTGGGGGCTGAGCCCGGGCCAGGCCAGCGTCCGTGTGGAGAGGGAGGAGGGCAGCTTGATGGTGATATCCTGGTGATGCTTCACGTTCCAGCGGGAGCCCAGCTCCGACGGGGCCGGTGTGCCGGGGAGCCTGGCGCCCTCCTCTGGCTGGGCGGAGCCACGGACGCAGTAGTCATGGTCTCCGGAGCCCACGTGGCTGGGGGGTGGGCCGCAGGTCGTGGGGGGCGGGCCCTTCCCCCGAGGTTTGCTCTGAGGCAGTGGCTTCGCTTCCATGAACTTGGCAGTTCTCTGGCTGCCCTCCTGGGGGGCGGCCCCGGGCTTCCCCAGCAGTGAGACGGCAGCCAGGGGCTTCCAGAGCTGGTGGGGCGGCGTCGCCGGCGGGGTGAGGCCTGCGAGGGAAGGAGGGCGTTCAGGGGGGCCCCCACGACACGGCGTGTGCCCCGACGGCGAGCAGCATTCCGTGGCCTGGGCCCCCACCCCCACTCAGCATTCCCCATGGCAGCTGCCAGCCATGCCCCCCTCGGGTGCTCGGTGCCCCCTCGCCTCCTTGTCTGCTCTGTGGCTCTCCCAGCCCTGGAGTGAGGAGCCGAACCTGGGCAGCGCTTGCCAGACAGGTGCCAGATCCCCCCCACCCCCAGCGACCCCTCCAGCCCCAGGGCTTTACCGGCGACGTTGGCCAGCTCCGGGGCATGCAGGCTGTCCGGCGGGTTCTTGTCGTGGTGGCTCTCCGACCTGCTGGAGGGAGAGAGGGGTCAGCGCTAAAAGCGGCAATGGCCAAGACCCGTGACCTTCCGGGCCAGGTCTCTCTCACCCCCACCTCACTGGGGAGTGCGGGACGGCGGGGCCCCCGCGCCCCACCCAAAGTGCCCATCACCGCAGCCCGGGGCACAGATGGCACGGGCCTGGGTGCCCGGGCAGGAGAGCATGCCCCGGGGACACTCGCTGTCCGGCTCACAGCAGCACGGAGAGACAGCACCAACCCATCCCCAGCTGCCCGAGCTCTGCCTGCACCCCTCCCTCAGGCCAGGAGCCCCAGGGCTGGGCGGCACCGTGGGCACCTCCAGACTCACCCAGCGTTCCCTGGCGCCAGCCTGTCTCTAGGGCATCGCACGTGCAGCTCCTCCTTCGTGGCTGAAATGAGAGCGAATGCAGGGATGGCTGAGGGAGACGCTGCCACGGGGGGAGCCCAGCGTCCCCACTCGAGGGCCCTCTAGCTGGGAGAGGGGGCCTGGTTCCTCCTCACCTCTGCACAGCACAACACCTCTGCTGGGGCCCCCTCCCTCCAGGCCTCATCTGGGGCCCCGTACTGGCCCAGTTAACATATGGGGCAGGGGTGGGGAAATGGGCCAGGTCTGCCCTTCACCGCAGTAACATTTGCGCACTGGCAGCCTTTGGGCTGCTCCGATTTACGCCGGGACCCATTGTTCAGCTAACCCGGGAACTTCTGCTGCCCCACAGCCTCCGCCGTGGGGCTGCCCCACCCAGGCTGGGGACAGCAGTCCCTGCTACACGCCAGAAACCCGACGCTTGCCGAGCTCGGGACGGAGCGTCAGCCAGGCCGGCACCTCCCTGGACGTGGGATTGCAATAGGCCTGTCGAGCTAGGGGCCGGGTCAGGCACATCCCAGCCCCGCAGAGCCTGGGGGCAGGCGGGGGGATGGCCGATCAGGGCGCCAGCCGCTCACCTTCAGTCTTCTCAAACTGCTCCAGCAGGCTGGACAGGTCGGAGGCTTCGATTCCTGTGGCGGGAGAGGAGACGCGGCTTGTCAGGTCCCTTCCGGGCTGGGGTCCTGAGCTGGGGCAGAGGGGCTCAGGCTGACGAGCCCCCCCCCGGAGCAGCGCCGAGGGACACTCGCTGGCACCATGGATGGCCACGCTGCTGCCATGGGGCGACGGGGCCAGATCCAGACCAGCCGGGACTCTCGTGAGCCAGGGCTCCAGGGCAGAGTGCAGCGGGAGGGGAGACCTGCGGGGACCAGGGGCCTTGCCATGTCCTGACAAAGGAGGGCGGCCTTTCCCGCGAGCAGGAAGGAAGGGGGCTCGGGTTCCTCCCAGGGGGCCCCAGGCAGCAGGAAACTCTCAGGCCGGATCCCCGCTCAGGGCAGCCCCAGAGATCTGGCCTGGCCAGCCTGGGCCAAGGCCCCCGACCCCAGGGGAAGGGCTCTGCTGTAGACAGGTTCAGCTTCGCTGCTACTCACCCTGAGCCAGGCCCGCGACACGCCCCCTCGGCGCCCTCCCCATGAGTCCCTCCCCCCGCCCCCCCTCAGTGCCCCACTGCCCCCGGCGCGGCTCCCTCACCGATTTCACTGATGAAGGCCTGCACGATGTCCTTCCTGGCGCCAGGCTGGGCCGGGCTGATGAGAGGCCGGTGTCTCCATGGCTGGGCAGGGGCCGGCTTGGTGGGCTGGCTCTCCTCACGTGCTCTCAGCAGTGCCCCCACTTTCCCAGGGATGGACGTGTGCCCAGGCGGCCGAGGATCTTGCAGGACAGCTCCCTTGGGGTCTGGCCGGGCCCCCTCCAGCAGGCTGGGCACTGGGACCTTTGCTGGAGCTGCAGTCTCTGCCCTGGGGCAGGTATCAGGGGGCTCCCCCACAGGCCGGGGGGCAGGGGACTCCCTTGCGGGCTGAGCAGGGGGATCCCGCACAGGCTGGGCAGCGGTTGATTCCCCCACGGGCCGAGGGGCAGCAGCAGAAACAGACTCCCACACGGGCGGGGCGGTGGCAATAGAGGGCTGGGCAGCAGATGACTCACCCACTGCCCGGGAGGCAGAGGGCTCCCCCACAGGCCGGGTGACAGGGGGCTCCCTCGTGGGCTGGGCAGGGGGTTCCCCCACAGGCCATGGGGCAGGGGGCTCCCTTGTGGGCTGGGCAGGGGGCTCCCCCACAGGCCATAGGGCAGGGGGCTCCCTCGTGGGCTGGGCAGGGGGCTCCCCCACAGGCGGAGGAGGAGGGAGCTCTCTTGTGGGCTGGGCAGGGGGCTGCCCCACAGGCCGAGGGGCAGGGGACTGCCCCACAGGCTGGGCAGTGGTTGACTCCTCCACGGGCCAAGGGGCAGCAGCAGAAACAGACTCCCCCACAGTCCGGGTGGTGACAATAGGGGGCTGGGCGGCAGATGACTTCCCCACAGGCTGGGGGGCAGTGGGCTCCCTCGTGGACTGGGCAGGGGGCTGCCCCACAGGCCAGGCAGCAGTTGACTCCCCCATGGTCCGGGCGGTGGCAATAGGGGGCCGCCCTACAGGCTGGGCGGCAGGTGACTCGCCCACAGGCCGGCTCTGCCTCCTGGGATCAGATGCCCGGCCAGAGGGCTGTGGCCCGCGCTGGGGGGGCTGGGCTGGCACCTCGTGCTTGGCAGCAGCGGTGGCCTGGCTGGCTAGCACTGGCTTCATTGGCTGTGCTGTGAAAGCTGAGGTCTCTTGGCAGCTTGGTGCCAGGGCGGCTGGGCTACCTGGGAAGGGGTTTGCCCCCGGGCTCTGCAGAGCGGCCCCTGGATCGCTGTACACCATTGGAGGCACTGGCGGCGGCAGGGGGACCCCGGGCCAGTAGGGTGGCTGGAGGCCCAGGGGCCAGCCCATGGGGGCACACGGCACACCTGGGCCAAAGGGAGGTGGTGGCAGGGCAGGGGTAGGCCAGGCAACGGCTGGCGGGGGCAGGCCAGGCACCAGGTGAAAGGCGTTGGGTGACCCGCCAGCGGCCGGTGGTGGAGGCAGACTGGGGTAGCTGGCAGGCGGGGGCCCAAAGCAAGGCCAGGAAGGCACCGGTGGGTAGAGGGCATAGGGCGCCGGGGAGGCCAGCGGGATCACTGCAGCAGCAGCCCCCAGGGCCGGCGGGAGGACAGGCAGCTGTAGCCCCGGGGGCACTGGAGCCGGCAGAGTCTTGGGGGGCCCCGCAGGTGCCTTTCTGGCCAGAGGAGGGGTGGCAGGGGGGCTGGCAGGTTTCTCTGGGCCCCTCTGGGAGCTGGGCGTCTCCATGGGCTGGGCAGGCTGCGAGGGCGGGGGGCGTACGGGCGCCATTAGGCACGGGATCTCGGCCAGCTCCGTGGGGGGCTCGGGGACGCTGGGCCACTTGCTCGCTGCCTGCTTCTCCCCCTCCTTCCCGTCGGCCCCGCTGGGCTGGCGACGCAGCATCCGCAGCCGGTACTCGGTCAGGCTGAGCGCCCTGGGCTTGGATGGCCAGCCGGCAGCCTCCCCGCCAGCACTAAGGTCATGGTGCGGGGGGGTGCTCCCTTTGGTGGGGGCAGGCCGGCTCCCCTCACTGCACCCAGGAGCTACCTCTCCCTGCTCGGCTGGGCCGGGTCCCACGGCAGCCGGCTGCTCCCCGGGGCTGGGCACGGCCCGCTCCGAGGGCCCGGGGGTCTCCGCGCTCTGCACAGCTGGCTGCGGGTTGGGCTTCTCAGCCTCCAGCTCCTTCTGCACCTCAGGGCGACCCTTCCTCTGCGGGCCACCCCCTGCTGCCGCTGCCCTCGGTCTCCCTCTGGCCGATCGCAGCTCCATCTGCCCTTCCTTCTTGGCCTGCTCCAGCTGCTTTTCCAGGAAGGTGGACACTTGCACGGACGGCCGGGCTGCCCGGCTGGGGGAGCGCTGGGTGGCTGGCGGCTGCCCCGCGGACGTGGAGCGGAGCCTGCGCACCGCACAGTCCCCATCTGGCTTGGCCTGGCCCTTCTGCGATTCCTCCCTTTTCTTTTTCCGGCTTTTCCGGGCCCTCTCGCGCCCTCGGCCCTTCTCAGTGCCCTGGCGCTTCCTGCCCACTGGCGCCTCTGTGCTGTGCCGGGAGCTGCTCTCCAGATCCTGGTCTCTTCGCCTCGCCTCGTCCTTCGCTTCGGGGTCAACCCCCCGGGGGGACTCTCTCTCCTGGGTCGGGCTGGGAGGCTCCTCTTGGGGGGCCCTGACGGGGCCCCCAGTCTCGCACCCCTGGGCAGGCATTCCCACTGGCACCACACCATCCGTAGGCAACGGCTCCAGGGCACCATCCCCCTCGCCAGCCAGGCAACCGCTGGCTCCCTCCCCTTCAACTGGGAGCTGGGCTCCTGGGCCCAGCTGCTGCAGGACCACGGGGATCTCCAGGCTCTCGCCTTCGCCCGGCACGATCTCCAGCAGGAGCGGGCTGGTTAAGAACTCCTTCGCCACCGGCTCGCTGGCAGGGTCCAGGCACACGGTGAGCGTGGGCAGGCAGTACGGGTGCATGGACTTCACCAGCTCGCTGAGGGACCCGGCCCCCGTGCTAATGATGCAGGGAGTGTCAGTGTCTTCCGGCCACGCCGCCTCCTCACCCCCAGCCTCGGCGCACAAATCCATGGGGCTCTCCCGCAGACCCCCCGTCACTGCCACGCCGCCGTGCTGCCCAGGGCTAGCAGCCTCCTCCTCCTCCTCCCCATCGCTGCGCTGCGGGAGGGGCTGGGGCCTGGGGAGCTTCCGCTCCGCCCGGGGCGCTCTGCTGGGGCGCGGCTTTGGCACTGCCGGCTCGTCGAGGCAGCTCAGTGGACGGTTCCAGGGCAGATCCACGGGGCCCGTCTCCACCTGGCAGGGAAAGGGGGAAGAGGCAGGTGATGGGGCTGCCCCCCAGAAGCAGGGCGGCCCCGAGGCAGAGCAGTGCACCTCACATAACCTAGAAGGCGACTGCCAGTGGGCTCAGCCGCCCCTGCTAGCAGCCAGAGCTACGCCCTCTCCTTGTGAGGCGCGTGGACTGGCAGGGACCAGGCCAACAGCACTTTGAGCCCTACAAGGGGGCAGTTTTCACTGATTTGCAACAGCCCCACCCCACTCCTGCCCCTTGACAGGCTCCCGAGTTACGGCCAACCCTCACTGCACCGGAGTTGGCCACCCTGGCGGAGAGCATGCCCCACGCCGCAGGAGACAAGGGCTCGAGGATTTAGTCACCCTGCAGCCCAAGGGGCAACCGACCAGTGCCAGCAGTGCTGGGGTTCCAGCTGGCCAGGACCGCGAGCCGTAAGTGCCTGGCCAGGCTCCTGACACCCGCCGGCCTGGCCCGGTGCCGCTCCCAGCCCCGCAGAACCACGTCAGCGGGAGGGGCAAGGGCTGGCGGCCCTTTAAGAGAGCGGCGCGCTACGAGCATGGAGATGCGTGTCCGGGCGCTGCGCGGCAGCTCCAAAGCCAGAGCAGCCCCGCTTAGCCGGCCGGGCCACTCCCTGATTCTGCCTCTCCCGAGCTCAGCAGCGGCCCAGAAACCAGGGAGATACTGGAGCGCAGGCAAGGGCCAGCAGGAGTCACCGTGCACAAACGGAGACCCCCCACCCATGGGTGCGAGCAGGACAGCCAATCCTGCTGATGGCTTCCCCAAACACCCGTGCTTGCCCCGGCCTCCGGCTCTCGCCGAGGAGCTGCCCTCTCACCTTGCCGATGGCAGCTGGGCCGCTGAGCCCCCACGGATCATCTAGGGCAGGAACGCTGCGCTCAGGGGAGGCCCGGGACAAGCTGAGAAACTTCTGAAACTGATGGGTAGGAAGGAGAAGGAGAAGGTGGAAAACACGGACCTGCCAGTCGGAGCCTAGCCGGGTGAAGCCGCATGGCCAGCAGCCTCCCCGCACCAGCCTCTCCCTCCCCACCACATGCCCAGCATGGCAACTGGCCCCCCATCTCCAGGGTACACCCCAGCCTCCGCAGGATCCCAGAGCTGGAATCACACCCTGCTCTAGTGCCTGGCTCACCAAAGCATGAGCAGCCCGAGCCGCCTACATGCCACGGCGGGATGCGCAGGGCGCTTCGCTTTGAGCATCTCTGCTGGTCTGTAGCCAACAGCAAACCAAGGTTTGTCCCACCCCCAGCCCCAGCCCCACTCCCTCTGGTTTCCTGCAGGGCAGTTCCTACATCTCACTGCTGGTGAGGCAGGTGACCGCCAGGGGGCGCCCTGCAGCCTGCCAAGGCCATGCAGTGATATCACCAATGACCAGGCCCGGCTCGGGGATGGGGGGGTTTCCATTACAATGGCATCGGGATCTGGAGCCTCCTTTCCCAGAGCCCCCCCGGGGGGGGGGGGGGGCAGGCGGGTTACCGTGTCTACGCGTGTGCTGCTGCCACGGGCCAGGGGCTAAGTGAAGCGGAAGGGGCTGCTCTAGGCACCTCCTGGGAAGGGAGGGTAAGACGGGCAGAGAGCAGCTCATACCGAAGAACTCTCGCGTTCCCGGGGCAGTGCCAGCAATTCGGAGTCCAGGGTGGTGTCAAACGGAGACAGGGTCTCGTCGTCCGTGCTGTCCAGAATCTCGGTGATGGCCGTCAGCAGGGACAGCTCGTTTGGAGCATCCAGGCAGGCCTTGTTCTGGGGAGAGGAGAAAGCCCTCGCATCAGGGGCACAGCCAGATACCAACCCTGCCCTGCCACTCTCAGGACATGCTCTAGCCACTCGTCTTCCCCTCTCTTCACACCTGTCCCTGGCCCGCAACACGGAGGCTCAGAAATGCGGGTGCCCACTGAGGGGCCAGCTCTGCCCCTGCCCCAAACGTCCTTCGAGCAGGGCCCGGCTAGGGAGGCGCCCCCAGGACTGGAACGCTCCCGTTAACCGGCACAGCGCTTGGCTCAGAACCGAGGCAGGGAGGTGCCCAGGATTAACGCTGCCGTGAGGCTGAGGCGGGGGAATTAGGACCAGGCTAGCTGGCGTGGGGGCCGGCAGAGGTCCTTGGCAAAGAACCCTTGTGAGACGGAAGAAAAGGAGGGGAAGAGCTGGACCAGGGACTGACTCCTGGCCGCTATTCCTGGCGCTGCTCACCTCACGCCCAGCGAAGCGGGGCAGCGTCCGGCAGGGAAAGCAGCAAACAGAGGGGCCAAAGCAGGCAAGGGACGGAGATTCCCAGACCTGCCTTATCCTGCCTCGCCCCCCACCCCCAAGGTCACAGGACTGGAGATGCCCCAGGCAGCTTTGGATCCAGGGCTGTGGCAGGTCCCGCATTCACCCATCTCGCCTGCAGAAGGCCACAGCCCAGCTGTGTCCCCTGCCTCTCTGTGGGCAGCCCGTTACCTCGGTCAGGGTGCCGAAGTCCTCGATGATAGAGATCATGGAGGAGTCCAGGTAGCTCTGCATCGTTCCCAGGATCCCTTCGGCCTCCAGGATAGCATCGCTGCAGGCGGGAACCAAGTGCAGGCTCAGCTCATCTTCCTCCAGAGAGAAGCACTAGAGAGGGGCAAGGAGACAGGTTGGGGGGGAGAAGCCAGTGCTCACCAGGCTACAGCCCCCGTTCTGTTCTGCACAACGGGGCCCTGCTCTACAAACATAAGAACAGCCAGACCGGGCCAGACCAACAGTCCACCTAGCCCAGTATCCTGTCTGCCGACAGTGGCCCATGCCAGGTGCCCCAGAGGGAATGAACAGAACAGGGAATTATCAAGTGATCCATCCCCTGTCGCCCATTCCCAGCTTCTGGCAAACAGAGGTTAGGGACACCATCCCTGCCCATCCTGGCTAATAGCCATTGATGGACCTAACCTCCAAGAATCTATCTAGCTCCCTTTTGAACCCCGCTATAGTCTTGGCTTTCACAACACCCTCTGGCAAGGAGTTCCAGAGGTTGACAGTGCGTTGCGTGAAAAAATATTTTCTTGTGTTTGTTTTAAACCTGCTACCTATTAATTTCATTTGGTGGCCCCTTGTTCTTGTATTATGAGAAGGAGTAAATAACACTTCCTGATTTACTTTCTCCACACCAGTCATGATTTTATAGACCTCGATCATATCCCCCCTTAGTCGCCTCTTTTCCAAGCGGAAAAGTGCCAGTCTTATTAATCTCTCCTCATATGGAAGCTGTTCTATACCCCGAATCATTTTTGTTGCCCTTTTCTGAACCTTTTCCAAGTCCAATATAGCTTTTTTGAGATGGGGCGACCACATCTGCATGCAGTATTCAAGCTGTGGGCGTCCCATGGATTTATATAGCGGCAATATGATATTTTCTGTCTTCTTATCTCTCCCTTTCCTAATGATCCCAACATTCTGTTTGCTTTTTTGACGGCCACTGCACATGGCGTGGATGTTTTCAGAGAACTATCCACAATGACTCCAAGATCTCTTTCTCGGGTGGTAACAGCTAATTTAGACCCCATCATTTTGGATGTAGAGTTGGGATTATGTTTTCCAACGTGCATCACTTTGCATTTCTCAACACTGAATTTCATCTGCCGAATTTCATCTGGGACGACTGGGGTCCCGGGGCGCTGTGCTAACAGAATAAAAGCCAGACAGCTTCGGGGCTCTTTTTGCCACTTAGCATCCTAGCCCTTGGGGAGGGAAGTGTCACGTTCTGAGACTTCTCGCCACAACCACGCAGGCCAGAAACTTATTTTTTCCAATGAAAGAGGAGATAGACTGTCTGAATCACCAGGCTCCAGGAGCTGGGGCTTTAAGAGCACCACCAAGTATTGTGAAGCTCATGATACAGTTGAGAGTTGGCAACCCTGAAGCCCCTGCATCCAGCAACCAAGGAGAAGCACTTCAGCCCACTGCTGCTCCTTTAAATGATGAGCACTGAAATAGCATTGAGTTGTTGACATTAGGTTTCAGAGTTAACAGGGCTCGTGAGTATGCGGTGAAGAATTACAGCTTAGAGGACTAGTTCACCAGGAGACTTAGCACAACGGGGTCACAGGGATGTTGGAGTGTAAGTCCCCCTGGGCCCACCCCCCAACTAGCAATGAAACTGCAGAGGGACCACCACATGTTGGGATCTGGCCAATCCTTGGGCAAGGGGGACAGAAGTCCCATGAGACCTAACCCTGCTCCCCAATGCACATACCGCTCAGCACCTTGGGTTAATCTCAGCAAACACCACAGGTTTTATGTACTTGGTTTAGTGTAGCCACTGTGCCCGCGTGAGCCATGGCTTGGGGCAGAGATGCCCCCAGGCACCAGCTGCCTCAGGGGGCAAGGGGGGTAAAGTCACTCCTGCAGCCTCCTCCTCTTGCAAGGAAGGGTATGGGTACACTACAACCCTCCAGCGGCACAGCTCCAGCGCTCTGGCTGTGCCACTGACGCTTTCTACGTCGACACAAGAGGTTTTTCCATCGATGTACTTAGCCCACCTCTCCGAGAGGTGCTAGCCAGCCAGCCGCGTCTACACAGGGTTAGAGCAACCTAGCCACGGCACACAGGGCGTGCAATTATTCAAAGCCCTGAGCGATGTACCTAGGTCGATGCCATTTGTAAGGCCCAGGACGCAGTGCGGCAGAGCCCTTACGCTGGCCTAGTATATTCTGGTTACTTTGATGTGTGTGTGAACAAGGAGTGTGCAGATTGGAGCGCGGAGTCATTTGCAGAGGTCTCCAGAGTCCTGGACCTCCAGTCTGAACAGGCCACGCCCCCGTGAGACGAACGGGGCAACAGTTGCCTCTCAGGGCTGTTTAGACTCAAGAAGGCACCATCTCACTTTCAACAGGTTTTCTTGGCCACCAGAAGGGCTAGAAATTTAAGCCCCAATTTTCCAATCTGTGCCCCTGAAGTTCTGCTGCTACATAAAGGTGACCTCATTTACCGAGGTCCCAAACAGCCCCGACTCTGGCTGGAGTCACTGGCAACACCAGCAGCTCATCTCCACCTCTGACCTAGGAGCTGAACTTCGAAACCCAGGCTCAGGCATTTTACATTGAACGCTTCAGGTCTCAGTCCAAGACCACGGGAAGGGGTTGGAATCTGTGTCACATGACCAGCTCCTCCGCCAGGACAGCATGAAGAACTTCTATGCTGCCAAAAGCAAATTCCCCTGGCTGGCCGCTGCTGCTGCGGGGACTGATCATTTCTCGAATGCCGAAGCATCAATATTCCTGAGGCAAAGGCCCCTACAAAGTGAACTAAAGACAGAGCGGTTGTGATCTGTAGCTTGTGTTTGGTGGATTGCTTGACAGGCTGCAGATCTGGGCCCTGTACAGGAATGAGATCCCGCTCCGGTCTCATGCAGAAGACGAGTGTTAGGTAGGAATGATGCTGCCATGGTTCATTAGCTCGTATTACTCCAATACGCAGGGAGAAAGGAGCACGTAAACCCCAGCTTAACCCCACGCACGGCATTCCCCTCCAGAGCCCAGGACGCTCCATTTCAGAACACAGTCTCTGGTGAATCATTCTGGAGAGATCAGGAATGATCAAAGGAGCTGGGATTCATGCAGTGCTAACACGCCCAGTAACCCAGCAGTTACTGCAGGGCTTGGAGTCAGTGGTAACAAGCAGGCGCATCTCACCCCAGGGAGGAGCCACGCGGTCGAGCAGGAGTTCACAAGAGTCGGAATCGCTGCCGTCAGACCAGTCACCAGCTCACACAGCGTCTGCATTTGCAGTCCAGTTCGTGAGGAACCCCGCCCTGATGCTTCGCTATTGCAGCATCCAGGCCACTCCACTGTTACAAACGCGTCACAATCAAAAGACGCTTTCAGGAGTTTAACGAGGGTTAGAAAATCGATTTCCCGTGGGAGGGGAGAGCGCCTCCTGCAGCCCTGAGAAGTCCGACAGCCACGTGGGAACATATCAGTGGTCCGTCTAGTCCATTGCCCTGGATGTGTGTGGCCAACGCTGGATGCTTCAAAGGAAGGGGTCAATTCTCCCGCATCACCTCACTGCGGTGCTATGGCTCGGAGGGCAGACTCGCCCTGGTGCAGAGGTTACCCCCAGAGCCTTTGCTCATACAGGCAGTGTCCCGGCCGCTGCTGTTGGGCCAAATGTCGAGCTGTCTTCAGAGAACTTACTGACTTGTTTGCCTCTGTATCCTGCAGCGATGAGTTCCACAGGTTGGGGGAGTCATTGGCTAATGAGACCATGTTCCCCAAAAGATCCCCATGGAGCCATTTTAAATGCGGTGCCTTTTCAGTTCTTCCCACCTCCTCCTGTTCACAGATCACAGACGGGGTCAGTTCGCCCCCCGAGGGTGCTACCCCATTCATGGAGTTACAGCTCTTTTACTACCGTCCTTTCCTGCCTTGACTTTTCCCCTCCTCTAACCCCACCACCTGACTGGTTTTTGTTGCCTCCTCTACAACTTCTCTCCCTCCCCAGAGTAGGGGCACCAAAGCAGACAGAAACATTGCAGCTCGAGCGTTTGACGTGCCTGCAGCCGGGCTCCTAGGCTCTGGAGGGGACCATTCAAAGACACTCTCCTTTGCTGTGCCCAGGCAGCCCCAGCGCTCTCTGGGCCCAGGACATCGGCCCTCATTAGAAATGCAAGCTGGGAGCCCACGCGGTCACTGGTAGCAGGAAGGGGCATTTGCCAGCATCCCCATTTGTGGGTGAGCGAGAGGAGGAACCTCAGCCCTCACTGCTGCTAGCGAGGGCTCTCAGCGTCAGGCGCAGACCAGCAGAAGCAGAGAATCAAGTCACCTGACGAAACCCAAAGGAGCCTCACGGAGCTGCGCAGAGGCCACCTGGCTCCACAGGCGCACGGCATGCTGGGATGCAGGTCCCACAGGGTGGCATCCATCTGCTTCACTTCAAGCCTGCTGGGCACAAAGTCCCATCTCCTGGTGAGCTGCCAGCCCGGCCTTACCTGGGCAAAGCTGGCCGCCCGTGAATGGAAGGTTCCCAGAGGACAAACCTCTCTCAGAGGGGCCCCAAGGTTTCCAGAGTCACACTGGCACCACCACCAGCGCAGGCTGGACTGGGCCGAGAACCTGTCCCATCCTAGGGCTCTTGAGCAGGACAGACCCTGGGGGCAGGTCTTCGCAACGGGCAGAACAGGCTCAAAAGCAGCCAGGGAACAAGTTTTCAACACAACTTGCATGACAGCTCCTCTCCCCAGACAGCCCCCATCCTGGCATATCCAAGGACCTGAAATCACTGGGCTTGGTGTTAGCAAAAAGAGGATCCAAATACAAGGATGTGACATCACCCAGCAACTACTTGGGAGGGTTCTTGCATTGAATTTTGCCTCTATCACCAAACGCCTCCAGGACAGCTCCCTGTCTCGTCAGCTAAACTCCCACACAGCTCAAGCTGCAGCCATGCTGCCAAAAGGCAAGAGCTGCTGCCTACCAGTCCGCCAAGGCATCTCCTGGGATGCAGTTAAACAGGACGGCGTGAAGAGGAAAAGAACCCGCCCAGGATACAGGGCATCTTTGAAGTGAACTGACCTCCAGGCAGACGTGGGAACACATGTGCTTTGTAAAACATGAACAAAATAAATGCTTTTCCCAGAACAAGAGCGACACAGTGCATGAGGGAATCTCTTTTTTTGGCCCGACTTCTGCTGGTGAGAGAGACAAGCTTTCGAGCTTACAGAGTTCTGATTCAGGACAAAGCCGTTTCAGAATGTCAGATCCTCCACTAAAGCAGGGCCAGCCCCAGTCCATCATCCCAGAGAGCATACAGCAAGTGCCTGCCACGCAAAAGCAAAAACGAAATCAAGTCCTCTACAGCTCCCATAAATCTCAAGTGAAGCTAGAAAACCAGAATCTGTTCCCTGCATCTAGAACTTCTCATCCATACAGCTCAAAGCACTTTACACAGGACGCCAGTATCATCACCTCCATTGTAAATATGGAGAAACTGAGGCAGGGGGGCTAGGGAGTGGCTTGCCCAAGTCACCCAGCACATTAGGGGCAGAGCAAGAAACTGAATCAAGGACTCTTGAAATCCGGCCCAATGCTCCATCCACTAGACCACACTGCATCCCATGTTGTCCAACATAGCCAAGGTATCTTTAACAGGCCTATTGTTGGGGTATGCAAACCCTGAACACACAGCTCAAGGGGGCAAGTCTGTGTTAAAGGGCCCTCACCTGTCCCCAACTTCCAAAACTCTTATTTCTCTGGTCCCCACTGTGCACTCCTGAAGTCCAAGCATGGGGGCCCGGAAAGGGGGAGACTCAGGGAAAATTTCCCTAATCCAGGCAAGGCTTAAGTGTCCCATTCCCTAATCAGCCGCTGCCTTCCCCCCAGGTACTACAGTAAGAGGAACAAGGGTCCACGCGCTGCAGGAATGACACAAGGACACAGGTCTCGCCAAGGAGAAGGTGGGGGACCCTGCACCCCGGGTGACACTACAGCAGCTGGGCACCAGCGCTGTGGCTGGAGAAAGTCACACTCCCACGGCCTTTTTAATGCAAGAGCCAACAGCCCCCAGGCCTGGCCAGCCAGCACACCCAGGGGCCGGGCACCCAGGGCGGGGGAGTTGGAGGTGACAGCCGGCCACGCTGCTGCGACTGACGGCAAAACACCCATGTTCATCTCACGCCCTGCAGACTAGAAGGATCCCCAAGAAACCAGCTCTGCTGTGGTCTGCGGGGAGCAGCCCCCCCCCCCCCAGGTCCTCCACCCACCTTCCCCGGCCCCCCCCCCCCCCGGCTAGTTCTTCATCCACCTTCTCCGGACCCCCGCCCCCCCGGCTAGTTCTTCATCCACCTTCTCCGGACCCCCGCCCCCGGCTTCTAGGTCAGCCGGTCACTGCTCTGCACTGATGGTGCACGGCTTGGTGCCAGGTGCCTTCCACACCCAGGTACGGGGGGGGCGCTGTCACACCCAGGTACGGGGGGGGGGGGGGCCCCCCGGGGGGGGGGGGGGGGGGGGGGGCCGCTGTCACACCCAGGAATGGGGGGGCCCTGTCACACCCAGGTCGGGGCGGCGGGGGAATGGACCCAGCCCCCCAGGATGCCGGCGGCGGGTACCGAGCACCCCGCCGGAGGGGGCCGCAGAGCCCCAGGACCCGCCCCCGCACCAGGGTCACTCCGGGCTGCTGCAGAGCGAGGGGCGGGCAGCGCCCAGGCTCCGGCTCGGTCCCGGGCTCACACCCACGTGCCGGCGCCAGAGCCCGGCTGGGCGGCGGGCGGGGCCCACGTGCGCTCCCCCCCCCCGGGGCCGAGCCG